AGACTTCTTATTTAATGTATTCTTTCTATCTCAAAATAACTATTATCTTTTACTTTGAATTTGTTCTGAATTAATTGTTTTTTTTTAAGATAGACAAATAAATTTTTTACTTTAATTTTATTATTATCAATTTACTTTAATTAATTATCTAATCACGAAAGATCTTTTTTATCTTTTATTTTTTAAAAGGTATTATAGATAAATATAAAAATATTATCCTCAAATCTTTAATGAGAAAAAGTAAAAAATAACAATTATTTTAGATTATAGAAAATATGTTGTGATTAATTTTTTAAAATAAAGGTAAAATAGAATAAGCACTTTAAATTTAAATGGCATTCTATAAATAAAAACTGGATAACTAAATTTAAACACCCAAATTAAAAACTAAGTCTATTAAGTTGAATGAAGAGAGTAATTTTTCAACAACTTAAATAATTCAGTAATAATCTTCTATTAATAAAAGAAAAATATCATGAGTTTGAGTTGCATAATATGCATGATAGATAAAGTAAGTTAAGAAATGAAGAATAATTATTTTTCATTAAAAAAATGATTAAAGATACATGAGTCTATGACCAATTTGCTCCTTTGCTTCAAATTTTTTTTTTTTTTTTTGATAAGGGCAATGGTTAGTAAGTTAATTTTATTAGTTGTTAACAACTGAAGATTCGATCTCCAAATTTAGTGAACATTCCACCTCCCTCAATAAACCACGTGCGGTCCATCAAGCCAGCTTGGTGGAGTTCCCTTGCTTCAAACTTGATCTTGCAGGGAGTGGATAGACATTACAAGCAAGTGGGTGCCGATATTAACTAGATAGGACCAAGACTCTGTAACTAAAGAATCAGGCAAGTACCCATCCAATCTTATCCTGCCTTCTTCATCTTCAATGTCCCAAAAATATGGTATTCATCAATCACCATCTCAGGTTTCTTTAGCCAATTAAACGTAAACGTCCGCTTCAACCTTTATTGTCAAAAAAAAGTGAAAATGAGAAAATCTTCATATAAAAAAACAAGAAAAAAACAAAAAAAACGTGATATAAATATAAGATCAAGCACTTCACTTATTTAGGTGATTTTAAATTAGATACTCACTTTAATTAATTTTTTTCGATATTTATAATCTAAAAATATTGTAATTATAATGTTATATGACATTTACAATATGATATATGCCATTTCATAATTTAGTTTTTTATTAAGATGTTCACCTGTTTATATAATTGATCTATTTTCTCATTAATTTTTGTGCATCTTAAGAGCAATTCTAAGTATACACCTTTCTTATTACATTTAAAAAAATTTAATTTTTAAGGTGTTGCTTTTAATACTTTAACTCTGAACTCAATTTATAAGATAATACTTATTAGTAGATTATTAATAAAACTAACCATTAGGGTTCGTTTTAATTATAGTTAAATTTATATTTTTCCACAAAAAAAACTCCCGTGAAGAATGAAATAAATAAAGCAGAGCAATTAGTTGATTTCCTCATCAAACCAACTACGGAACATCGACATGTTTTCCTCGTCAACTTTCATGGATGCATGTCACAATCTCTAGAGAAAAAGGAACACGTTTGGAATAGAATATAGACGCCTTTGAATGGCAGCAAAGCCTAGAAAATACTATAGGACACTTGATAGAAAAGCCAACAACAGCATCGGACCAGATTTAAGGACCCCCAGAGTTTATAAAAAAAAGGTGTACTTTTCTTTCAAGTTGCAACCATAATTGACTAGTGTTTAAATCAATGTGGAGTTTGCTTTGGATAGGGTCCCCGTCCCAACATAACAGCCTTACATGTACATATCATACTCACAATTACGAGTTGCTTTTGAGTATAATGGTCGGAATGGGCAATTACGCAATGTAAAGAGCGCTCTGGTAAGTGATAGTAACACCTTAATATACGTAATCGCAGAGTTTAGAGTCGTTATTCAAGAAAAATGATAGTAAATTATGGATAAAATTTACTATTAAACAAGTATCATATTGTAAATTAAGTTTATAATTTAGCTTTTAAAACTAACATTCAAAAGCTAACAATCTAATTAATTTAATGATAATCTTCTTCCGTTGAAAATAAAAGATCTTAAATTTGAGTTGTATAACATGCGGATGAGGTGGGATAAGAGATGCAAGAGGGTTGCCTTTTGTTATGCAATCAACAAAAAAAAAAACTTAAAAAAATTAATTATTTTAAATATACTTATTGATGAATATATATATATATTTATTTGATGATATAATAAAATATTCAATTAACATTAAATAAATAAAAACATACATAATAATTTACGAACCAACAAATAATAAAAAGATTCCTAATTATTGTTAAGTGATATTGAGACGTACTCAACTTGTGAGATAATTTAGAGGATGAATAATTTTTCTATGCAATTATGCGAATCAAGAGCAGAACCACCGGCCAAAATGTCATGCTCGTTCAACGCGTAATATGATCCTACCAAGAAACAACATTCTAAAGGCTATATCAAGATATCTACTGCCAATCTCTACAATATATATATATATTATCATGCTTTGTCTGAGGAACGGTTGTCCCAAAGGAAATTTTTCTGGGTCAAACCCTTGTTTGGGCATAAGAGTTTATTTAGTTTAAAGAAAATCGAGTGAGAGAGAGGGAAGGGGAGGCATGAGGTATAATTTTAATCAAACAAATTATAATATTAAAAAATAATATAATTTAATTAGTAAAAATTTTTATCCATTTTGTTACTTTTCCTCTGTTTTCCTCCAACAGAACACACCAGTTAAGGATGATATCGAGCAGCACCTCGCCTACTTTGTATCCCATACTCCAAAAAGAAGTTTTTTCTTACCATTTGCGCACGGCTGAATGATATTCCCCCATACCAAATCATTTTACGCACTGAGCTTGTGAATTTCAGTTGGACACTATAAATCAAAACCTCTAAAATCCAACATGGAAAGACCCGTAGAGGACTCTGTCAGAGAACAAATATATCGTTCTCTATCATCATAGGCATGACCAAGAAATACTTCGTTCCTTTTCATCTTCGGCATGACTAACAAACATATATCGTCCATCAGGAATAATGAATGATCCATAAGACATGGGTCAAAGCAGATACAAAATCAACAGATTCTAGATCGAAATCAGGCAAGAATCAAACTCTAGCACCAGCTAACTTCAGTTCAATAGATATAACAACACATAATTATTTGGAAAACTAAAAATATAAAACTCTTACGCCCAAATTGATGAACAATAAAAACTAGTGAATTCTTCATCTCAAATTGTATAATAACTGATCATAAAAAGCAAACTAAAAAGAAATATCCAAGAGAAACTTCAAATTATGTCTCAATCTCCCAAGCTCTTGATAGCAAACATCAACCTTAATCAAACAAACTGAAACCCATATCATCATCAGACTCCTCAGCAGGTTCCTCTTTCTTCTCCTCCTCTTTTGGTGCAGCCGCAGCAGCAGCCGGGGCAGAGCCAGCATCAGTAGCAACAGCTGCAACAGCTACGGCAAACTTGCTTGGGTCCTGCAAATGTACCACCACATAATTTAATTATCAAATTATCAGATGATGGCAGTTCAAAAACAAACCAATAAGGAAATTAGAATCCATTTAAGCTGTACCTTCAAGTATTCCTTCACTTCGTCAGCCTGAGGGAAGGAGTACTCAGTTGCGACTGCAATTGCTAGGACATTCTTGTAGGCATTGATGAACATGTGCGGTGCAGCAGCAAGGGTTGGGTATGAGATGGCCAGAGACAAGGAGGTGACCATGGAGACACCAGTAGCAAACTTCTCAATGAGGTCATCTTCTGTCAGATCAAGAACCTCTGGGCTGAAAACTGATCCGTTGTCATAAACAGAGAGGACAATAAGACCATAGGAGAATGGCCTAATCCCAAGTTTTGAAAGTAGAGCAGCCTCAGAAGATCCAACCTTGTCACCCTTCCTAATAAGCTCAACAGGGGTGATAATTTCGACAGTACCCTTGTTAATCTTGGTTGGAATGTTGAGCACCTAATACATGATTGTCCACAGACAATATAGTTCAGCAAAAGCTTTAGCATCTAAAACCAAATGCCATCTGACATCGAAATGACAAACCTGGAAGAAAGAGGTCTGTGATGGGTCAAGCCCAGTGTTGCCAGGAGGGACGACCACATCAATGGGTGCAACCAATCCAACACGTGCTGGAGCTCCAACCTATTATATGAGAAGTTGAATATTAAAATCCAATGCCCCAATCTGGAAAAACCTCACACAGAAGAAGTGACCTCCCAAAAAGGTTGAATGTGAGATAGCTACTACAGTTAGAAACATCATCCATAACGGACATGTCTTCATTAAAAATTTCTCATTAAAAATCAGCCTTTCTAATGCATAAGGTTTTAAGTGCAAAAAATACTTGTTAATCCAAGTTTCATTCTTTGAATTAATTGATATCATTCCACAAAAGTAATGTACAAAAATTAGAATTTCAGATCAGGGTAATAAGGACTAAACACTAAGTAATCATGGTTTCTTAATGACCTTTTCATTTTAAAACACCTAATGGTAAGGTACTTGTGATTTTCGGTATTAGGACATAACGCTTATAGAGAAGTAACAAAGTTTAAACTAACAAAAAAGAAGCAAGACCATGGCACAAAACTTTAAAAATTGAAGTCCCATAAGCTTATAAAGATTCAGATTCAGAGTACATCAAACTACGCAGAAACAACACAATTTATTTGCGTCAATACTCCTAATGCCAAATGTTCTACTTCGTTGTCTGAATTTCAGATCTACTCAAACATTAAAAATATAGGAAATGAAGAAAACATGAACTTTACCTTGTACTTAGCAACCTCCTCACTGACTTCCTTCAAATCACCCTTAGTGAAGATCAACCCCACGTTGCCCTGACAAGAAACATAAGATTCCAGATAAGACATACAGACTGAGCCTGCAGGGAATGCTGAAATACACTGCGCAAAAAGGTTTGGACCATATACCTGGAGCAGGGGAATGAGGTTGAGGAAAGCCTGGTTTCCAGTCTTCTCAGCGTGCATCCGAATAGACCTCTTCATCATGGTGTTCTTGCCCATAAGAACAATAGAGTCACCACGAAGACCCCTCCTGATGCTCTGAAGCTGGTTCGACCCCACGTTGTCGGCAGCCACAATCAGGATCTGGCTGAAGTCGTCCAAAAGCTGGCACAGCTTAGCATCATAGGCGATCTTCTTATCGGCCTTGGATGGTTTCGATGCCATTTCTGACACTAAAAGTCTACAACAAATCTACAAACAAAGAGAAACAAAATCGAGGGCCAAGACGACGCCGGAGCTCAGTCAAGGCGGACAGCCGAACAACGCCGTCTCTTTAACCTCCGAAAGCTGTCGTGCAGTTGAGTCGGAAGAAAAACCCTAGGAAGGCGAGGAGGCAGATGGAGGGAACCGTGGGGCTTATAGTGGGCTTATAATCTTATATAGTGAGGGAGAAAAATGGATTTAGGGTTTTGCAGCGACCTTGATCGAACGGTTGATATTTGAAAATTGTTTTTTGCATCTAACGGCTGTGGGATTTTGGGTTTGGGCTAAGAATGATTTTCCCGTTTCGGTAGCTTGGGCTATATTTGGGCTGAGATCTGGGCTAACTTTGGGCCCAGTAAATCAGATTTGGACAGGAGAGGACCCACCCGATCAAAGATGGGATCGGACAACAAATATCCTCGCATGGTGGCATTTGATTTCCCTCGCCAAATTTCCGGGTGGCCGCCATCTTGGGCCGTTGTAACAGAATGTCCTCCGCCTACAGAGATCGGACGGCTGAGTTCCGGTCACTGTCGCAGACACTATTAAGGATCGGAGGGACAGCAGCTGTTGGTGACCATGCTCAAAGTGATCCCCTTTTAAAAGCTCCGCCACCGGCCTCCTACAGATCCGAATTCAACCAGAAGGCTGCTCGGATCGGTGCCGGCATTCAGGAAACCTCTCAGAAAATTGGCAGGCTCGCCAAATGTATGCTTTTCAATTTTTTGTTATCTGTGTTGAAAAAAAGAAAAAGAAACGAAATTTACTCGGTTCTATTGGTTATTTAGATTGAATCTTCATAGTTAATAATTATTTAGAATGGAAGATTTAATCTTTATCGTTACCAATTCTTATTTAGCTAAAATGGAAAGTTGGGTGTCAGTTGGTTTCTTAGTTTGTTGAGGCTTTCTTGCAATTGAGTTTGTGATGTAGTTGGATTCTTGTGTTAATTGATGTATTATTATGCTTATGAGGATTCGTTTTGATGTTTGTATCGTTGTAGTGGCGAAAAGGTCATCAATGTTTGATGATCCTGTTGTGGAAATACAGGAATTAACTGCATTGATAAAGAATGATATTACGGCACTAAACATGGCTCTGTCCGATTTACAAACCCTTCAAAACATGGAGATTGCTGATGGAAATTATTCTGAAGATAGAGTGGTTCATTCCACAACTGTTTGTGATGACTTAAAAGGCAAATTAATGGGGGCGACAAAACATCTTCAAGATGTGTTAACTACAAGAACAGAAGTTTGTGCTAACTAGAATAAATAGCTTTTATTGATTATTAATAAGCCTTCTTTTTCTCCTTTGTTACTTATGTAGCTTCCTTTTTTTTTAATGATTTTGCCTCTGCAGAACATCAAGGCTCATGAAAACAGAAAACAGATGTTTTCCAAAAATGCATTGAGAGAGAATCCGTTTCAACATCAAAGAGAAACTGTGACCGAGCCACCTCCATGGTCAAATTCTTCAAATGTATCTGGGAGTTTGCAGCCATCAGGGTGAGTATTTTTATTTGAAATTATAATGCAAACTTTAATTTCATTCCCTGCTTTCTTTGGACTATTTTATGTTGATATACTATTGTCACCATGTCTTTAAATCTATTAAAATTCTTTCATCTGTAAACAGTGCTCTTATCCTGCAATATTGATAACTACCGAGACTTGGTTGATCAAAGAAAAAAAAAGTTAACAGTGAGACTAATTGATTTGAATATGAAATTTTCCTGAGGCATCTAGTTCTTTAAAGATTATAGGATGATTCCACTAATTGTTGTTATTTGATTCCTGTCTTTCTTTCTTGGTAACCAGATTGCCTTCCAATGGAGTTCAAGTTGGCAGCCAATTAAGGTGTGTTTTGTTTCACTGTTTAGGATTCAGTTTTTGCTTTGTCCCTTTTCCACAAATGGCACGCTCCTGCTGATTGACCTCATTATATTACTTAACTAGATAGCAGCATTCTTGCAGCTCTTTTAGATCTAAATATACATTACTTGCTGGACTTGATTTTAAATCTGAATTGGTAATGTAATGAATTACTTTATTCTTTGTGCACTGAACCTGATCCCTCCAATTTATGACAGAAGCTAGTAGTACTAGTATTTGGCTCTGATGGAAGGTATTAACTCGCCCATGTATATATTCTTTCTGAACTTCATATGAATATTGCAATTTTACATAGTCTAAGAGAGTTATATTCCCTTCAATGTGGGATATTCATGTTTTGATATTAAGTGTCTGTAACATGTTTTAATACTAACATAACAATGGAAAATTGCTTTGAACCTTGCCCAACAGACGAAGGCCAGCTGTGGACAACACACCTTCCCACCATATGGAAATGTCAATGTTGCAGCAGGTTGTTCCACGACAAGAGAATTATACACAAAGCAGGGCTGCTGCTCTTCACAGTGTGGAATCTACGATTTCAGAACTCAGTGGGATCTTCACGCATTTGGCTACAATGGTTGCACAGCAGGGGGAGCTAGCTATCAGGTTTGCTGCTTTTCTTATATATATTTTATGTTTGTATATTTACATCTACTCATGAGGCCTGTCTGTCTATATGGTCATTTCTAAGAAAAGAAAGTTAGACTCAACAACTTGGTCATTTGATTTGGCTGTTGTGATTTCCTGCTTCTTATGATGTCTTCTGTATTTGCTGGTTGATTTGCCAGGATTGATGAGGACATGGATGAATCACTGGCTAATGTTGAAGGTGCTCGCAATGCTTTGCTGAGGCATCTTAACCAAATATCATCAAATAGGTGGCTTTTAATCAAGATATTTGCCGTAATAATCTTTTTCCTGGTGGTATTCATCATCTTCGTGGCTTGAATGTGATAAATGAGCTCGTGGCATATTGGCTTAGTAAAGTGATATTCATTGTGTAAATACACTTGGCATCTCCACTATTCTTGTTACTGGCTTCTGTCATACTTACAAGAGCATACTTGTACCAATCAACCTATTAGCCTAATGGTTTATAAGTTAGCTGATTGCACCTTCTGGGGATCAACTACTTGATTTGTGTTTGTAACAATTGCAGCTTCAAAAACTGATACCTGTTCATATGTTAATTCTCTGTGAGACTAGGATTGTATATCCATGAATGAATGCAGACAACTCCTAGCATCTATCTACCTCCTTGCTTATGAAATATGCATTTTTTGCCAACATATCATATGAGCTGGAGTTTACACCACAATCGGTAATTTGATGTCGTCACTTGTTATGACACATGGGTTGATATAGATTATTTCCATAAACCTTTGGTGTTTTGTTAATTAAAGTTCGGGGAGTCCAACTTTATTTTAAAAGTGAATTTTAAAAGAGGAGTGTTTTTGTTGGGCTAAACGGATAATTACATAGCCTAAAGGAAAAGTGTAGCCCCAAGTATTTTTTTGAACTTTTGGAATTAAAGGCTTATGGATTGAAGATAATATTTTATTGGAAGTTAAACTCTCCTCTTCTTTTTTGGGTACGAGTGAGTTGTAGACTTGGGATTAAATTAAAAGAGGGATTTGACTGGGTCAATTGAGAAGAGTGTGGTTGATTTTTAAAGGGTTTCAACCGATTGGATTCTGGTGGTTTTCTAGCTGTGAATTTCTGTCCCTGACTAACCAGCAGATCGCGTGATGGAGAGGATTTCTAGACTGTTGGGATCTGTTTTCATCGTGGGTAGTGGAGAGGATGAAGATCTGATTTTTACCAAGTGGATGCAGTTATGGAGGCCTTTAGTTACATGTTTTCAATACATTTTTAATTTAAACAAAGTTACCCTTCACACATAAGTTTAGTGATTTTATAAAGCACTTTGTTCTTTACAAGTATTCCTTAGTTTAGCATAACCTAACAATCTCTTAGATTAAAGCTATTTTCACCAAATAATCTTTGAATTTTTAGTCTAATAGAAGTATATCAACATTTCCTAGTAGATTTTTATTCATAGTTAGTTTAGTTTTTGATAAGATTAGTCTCCAAGATATTCATCTTATTTTGTTGTTTACTTCTATTTGATTTTTCAATTGTTAAACATTCAATTTAAAGTCCAATATATCTATAATTTCAATTAATTTGAAGTATTTTACATTTCTATTATAATTTATACTTTGGTTGAATTTTAGTTTGCTGCATTTTTCAAATTTCTATGTAGCTTTTGTTTCTCTATACCTATATTTTCTACACTTTCTTTTAATTAATTTCAGCACTTATTTTTAATTTATTTACTCTATGACATTTTAATTTAATTTTTCTTAATACTTATTTACCATAATCAAAATCCTTAATGTGCTTCTAAGGTAAGTTTGATCTCATTGTGCAAGAATTAATCTTTTATTTATTCTAATAATCTTTTTCATAAGAAAAATTTCAAGTGAAAGAAGAAATTTTGTGGTAAATCATTTTCTTACTTTTCTTACAAAAATAGGTTATACCCCTTCCTGTTTTCCTTTTTTTTTTTTTTGACAAGAGGAAATACAATGTTAAGTTAATATCAATTTGAAGAAAATCAAATTTGAGACTCAACCTGCAACTTGAATTTCGTTCCACTTACTTCTCACTTTAGAGAAACATGACTGTCACTGCAATCACATGGGAGAATGCTACCCCTTCCATTTTTACTGCAAGGCGTGGTTAACCAGATTTTAGGGGTGGCACTGGTTGGATCCATTCAAGTCTTACCGTCTTATGTCCTGGGAAAAGGGGCTTTTCAGCACAGATTGTGAAGACACGATTTGAGCCTGCCATGGAAAATGGGGTTTTAAGAACAGGTTATGAAGATACGATTTGAGCTTGATTCACTGTTGAGACCAGTGGGTTCAACAACAAAGCGATCATCACCATTAACATATTCCTGTATGTTAATTGTTTCAGATTAGCATGACCTAAGATGCCATATTCTCTTTTTCAAAAAATCATTGTACTGAGAAAAAGCCTCTTTTTATTTCAGTGGAATATACCATATTTAGAAATTTTAATAGAAAAGGGAATATTTTATCCAATTTACCATATGAGGCTTTATTTTGAAAGCAAAGCCAACTAGACTGATTTCTGATTTGAATAAACTAATCATAGTTTTAAGAAATAATGGGGAATCCCACTATGTTACTTCCTCCAAACTTTTCTTCAGAATCATTTTTTTTTTTTTATCAAAACCATAATTCTTAACCAGTTGTCACCACAATCATTCCAAGTCGCAGAAGATATATTAACAAAGAAAACTCATATTATAGTGAAAATCTTTTTCTCTTTCAAAACACTTTTTGATGATTCTTCAAAGGATATAATTAGAATAAATGAGAAAATAGGAGTTGTGAATATATGAAAATTTTTGATTTTAGGTGTAAAGAGATGAAAAGGAGATGAACCAACTTTTCTCCCTTTTTTTTTTTTTTTTTCAAGTCTCAAGTTCCATTATTGTTAGTAAGATAAGAATCCCTTCTTGCAAACTTTTACTATTCAAAAAAAAGAAAAAGAAAAAGAATCCCTTCTAAATTGCTAAGATTCTTCATTGTGATGAAATTTCTGAATTTGTTAAAAGTGGCAATCCCATCTGTCAAAGCATTTCCTTTGTTGTGTTGGCTAACATTTTGGCTTTTCGTCCTATGAACCCCATGCGCCTCTCCTTCCAGGTTACTTGCATTTGCAATTTGGCTCTATGATTGTGTTTATTTTTTGGACTTTGTATTTAATGCACATGCACTTCCCATGATTTCAACCATATGAAGATAGTTAGCTGAAGTCTTTAACTTATTTGAGAAGCAGGATATCACAAACAGGATTTCATGTAACCATAAAAGTAAGAAGAAAGCTGATTTCTGTTCAAAAATTTGAACATTGGTAAGTGCAAATCAGAGGAAGGTGCCAAAGGGATTCCATGTGTCTGTTGGATTGCTCTTGGTGGGGCAAAAATTCATCGACATTTAGATATCAATTGGGGGAAGAATTCAACTTTGAAAGCCCTAAACTTCTGAAATTGCCCATCTGTTTTCATAAAGTGGAGCAAATTTTTAGTGTTTGGTACACCAATTAGTCATTTTCCTCCTTTTTGTTTATTGAATGGCCCAGTTTGTTTCTCCTTCAGTTTATGGCCGTAGCAGACAACCCCTGTGAATGAACCCAATCAGGTCCTCTGGCAGGGGAGAATAATAGAGGAGAAACAACAAACATGTCTTCAATATAGCACAGAAAGAACGAATAATGTTGTGTGTTGAGGACAAACAGGAAAGGGGTTTCATTGTACTATGCTCCTCCATGCTTCCACCAAGTCTTTCCTCCCAAAGCTCAATTGGGTTCAAGAAAATATCCCATTAATGGCAGACACAGGCCAACAATTCAAATCTTCAGGTTCCGTGACAGATTTTCCAGGTTGTAGTAATTGCCGATTGAAAAGACAAGCAAGCAGAGAATACTTTGGGAAAATGTAATATCCACTAGGCCTGATGAGGTAAGGAAGGGTTGACTAAGATGAACCAAGAAAGATTCCCCCCCACAAGTAAACAAAATCATGAGGGAAGCATGAAGTCTTGATTTTTAAGCTTTTCAGTAGTACTCTCTCCTTACATTGAAAGTAGGTGATTTCGAGTTTGAGGCACACAATGTACAGTGGGTGACTTTAACCATGTAATGTCACTCAATTTTTCCCCTAAGGGCACCAATATTGACTATCTGCCCTTCGTTGAGAGACATGTAACTGCAAATTATTGCGTTGCTCTGCTTTTTAAGAGTTTCTCTCCACCAAGCAACGCCTTCTATGATTAAAAGAATTGAGTGGAAACTGGAAATGGGGTTGACCCGATTGCTAATTGATGGTGTATGATCTAAAGCAATTTTACCATTCTAAACATTTTTTTTTTAATGTTGGTTGCAGAACGAAAAACAATCATCTTCCATCCTTTATCTTACCTCACCCCGTATGTTATATTACTCGAATTTAAAATCTCTTATTTCCAACGAAAAGAGATTACTATTAAATTACTTACTTCGTTGACTAAAAACTAATTTGTTAAACCTGCAATTTATAAAACAAATTTAAAATGTAATAAATATATTATTTTATCAAAAAGATATCAAAATAACATTAATTTTTTACATAAATGTCATGTGTATAATTATTAGTTATTGATAAAATTAAAAATTAATATTTTTATGTAATTTAATGATTAAAATGTACATTTATTATACAATTAATAAAAGCAAGCACATATTAAAAAAAATTAAAAAGAAAGGAAAACACTAAGATGAATATTGCCATCATTAGACTATTGGTTACAAAATAGTCATGCTTGTAGTGATTGAAATGATGACCTAAAATGATTGGTAATTAAGGATTATATGCATGCTTTATTTATAACTCATAAACACAATCACCACATATCTTTTGATTCTCTTTTCATCCAAAATCTAATGAAAAAGAATATTACAAACTTCGTTCGAATTATCCAGAAACAGATTTTCATGTCTATTTAAAAATGAATAACGAGGTCCATCATTAAAAAAAAAAAAAAAGAATAATGCACGTTAGGCCAAAAAAGTGAGGCTGAAAGGATAAAGAAAGATTGTGATTGATTTTTTTTTTCTTATTTAATGGATAACTCATGAATTCATATGCATTTACCTTTTTTTTTGCCTTTTACTAGAAACTGAAGATTTCAAATGCTCACTGGATAATTCTAATGACAAAAGATTATGATCATGTATTGTCAGGAATTTGGAACTTTTTTAACTAGAGAAAGGTTACCATTTATTTATTAATTTAAGGTTAATGTATGTTTGAGTTGGTTTTATTAATTTATTTTTTAAATTATTGTTAATGCTTTAAATCACTAGGCAAAGTTTTTTTTTTAAAAAAGGGTGAATTTATTAATAGGTCTAAGTCCTTGTTAGTTTTTTCTGCACATGATTAAATTCAAGTCTTGAAACCTACTAAAATTTTCTTAATCTCCAAATTGGATATTAGGACAGGTTTTTGAGTAATAAAACCAGGATAAGTGTTGTGTTAAGAACATCCAATGAAGGAAGTCCAACAATTTAGTATATGGATTATTAGTCAAGAGTCAGAGGTAAAGGCAGACAGAGAGCATATTAGGGAAAAGTAAAATTAAAGTTGAACTGAAATGAGAAAGGTCCT